TTTTTTTTTTTTTTTAAAGACAAGTTTTGCCTTTATATAGATTCATGGAGACTGTATTTATTTGAGTCTGGTCTTTTCACTCAATATGTTTGTAAGATTCACTTATACAATTGCAGAAATCAGAAATTCACTTTTAATTGTTGAGTATTATTTTATTTATTAATGAATAAAAGACAAGACTTGAAACTACAACCACATACCACTCGTATACTTATATTGTCAATAATACTTTAATATCAGTTCAATCAAATCAAATTTATTAATCAAATTCAAATTTTTTGTTTCAAACATGGGAAGATGTTTATGATTTGGCTTTATTAAAAAGAAAACCACTAGGGACACCTAGGTGGCTCAGTCGGTTTTGTGTCTGACTTGGGCTCAGGTCATGATCTTGCAGTCCGTGAGTTCAAGCCCTGCATCAGGCGCTGTGCTGACAGCTTGGAACCTGGAGCCTGCTTCGGATTCTGTGTCTCCATCTCTCTCTGCCCCTTCCCTGCTCATACTCTCTCTCTCTCAAGAATAAACATTAACAAAATTAAAAAAAAAAAAAAAAAAAAGAAAACCACTGGCCCCAACTGCTGTCATTTTAAAATGTACTCATTTGAATTTTTGCTATTTAACAGTTTGTTCAAGTCAGGCTAAGGAAATACTTTTGATGTTGGAAAGATTGCCTCCCACCCGTTCAGAGAGGACACACTGGAGAGCTTTATGTTGAAAACAACCATTTTCCTGTATTTCTAGGAAGTGGCTGACTTTTCATCAAACAGTGTAATGTGTAGGAAGTGGGCTTATGGGGTCAGAGAGTGGATGTGTTCCCCTTCACCCCCCACTTCCCTATTAGGTAATCCTGGGTTTGAGATGTGCCAACAAGTCTCAGCTGACCCTATGCCTGGCTTGTCCTTTTCTCCCACATTACAGAATTCTGCCTCCTACAAGGGAAGCATGGTGGCTTTGAGATTCACAGAAGTGACTATGTCTTCCTGGACCTTCCGTCCTTTGAAGAGTTTCCATTTTGGGAAATGCCAGATTCTGGACCAGGACCATCTGCCCTGGATTGGCCGCTGAATGTTTTAAAACAAGGTATTGTCAGCAGGGTGGGGTGTGGTGATCTGATCGCTACTTTAGTACGATACTTCATGAGGTGAGGTGGCCTTCAGGAGCGGTGACTCCTCAGCGACTTAATGGAGAACATTTGAGAACAGAGGGAACAATGCTTCCAAGTCAGACCTAGTCCACTCAGCAGGATGCAGCTCTGTGGAATCTTAGGGAACCTCAGGTCTTGGGTGCCATGTTTTGAGGAAAGGGTGGAAGACTAAGGAGTGAAAGAGTCTGGGGTTTGGCATTTTCTTTCATTTTATCCATAGAAGACTCGCAGACTATTAAAGGTAGCTAGTTAGCAAAGAGCCATATCCCGAATTTTGCATCTGTTTCATTACATTCCAGCCTTCACTGCCAGCACAGGCAAGGCTTTTGTCAGCATTGCAAAATGCTCTCTTGGGGGCTCTTTATCCACGTGGCTTGAAGCCCTGCATCCGGTGAGGAGGAGGGGAGTACCTGTGACTTGCCTGCAGCAATTCCTTTTATTCTTCATAGGATTTTGTGTTTTAAAAAGTTGGCTTTTCTTGTGATGGTGTGGGTGGGCGGGGGGTGGGGGCGGGGAGGAGTGCAGTATGTAGCCAAAGAGGAAATGGACAAGGAAAAGGGGAAACAAATAACTGGGTAAGAACTTGGTAAAAAGAGCTAGAAACAGCTCAGAATGATCTGGAAAATGGCCAGGAGGATAAGAAGAGACTGTCATCTATGGGGCTTCAGAGGGTCCCAAACTAGAAGATACTTCTCTTTCTGTAGCAAAAGCATCAGGGTTGGAAGAAATGGCAGGGAAGGATAGGGCTCTTCCATCTTGCAGGGCTGCAGGCCCCTCCTCTGCCTCCTTGAGACTGACAGTTGGGTCTGACTTCCAGCTGCCATTTAAGCATGGTCGTAGGTTAGGACACAACAGAGCGGCCCTGCAGCCGTGTCCTGTGCTCCAGGGAAGGGACAAGAGTTCATGGACTGCAGCTTATCATTTCCTTTCCTACCAGTCCACCCTGTCAGTTGGCCATTCAAATCAGCCTGATGTGGAGTAGGGTGGGGGCCAGCCTGGCCTTTATGCCCTTGGACTTTACACCAACCAGGAGAGCTCTTCTCTCCAGGATGGCATGGCAAAGACCTAGCTGTATTTATAGAGAAGTTTTTGAATGGGTCAGTGACTGATGTGACCTGTTCCTCTCCATGGGGCTCTCTGACCATTGTGTGCTGGAATTTGCCATCAGCAGAGGTAGTGCATTATGTATTAGTATGCATTTCTGCATATGAAACGGTTTTGGTTTATCAAATCTTGTTCTTAAATCCTCACTGGGCTTAATTTACTAGAAGTATTCCAGTGTTGTTTAAAAAAATACAGAAAAGATTTTAAGGAGAGAGCCTCAACCATCCTGCAGAAGATGTGCATAACCCAGCTGGTGGGTCTGTGCACCTGCCCATTCTCCAGGATGGGTGAAGAATAATGAATGGAAAAAATGGAATGGCTGGTGTTTGCTATAAAAATAGGGTGCCGGACTCTTTGAAAAGCAAGCATTAAATATTAAAGGATAAAAATATTCATGGTATTAAAAGAAAGGACATGGAAAATAATGGACTTTGGAGTCTGCATGGCTGCAAAGCCCTATAAAAGTATTGAGTGATAGTTAGTAATTCAGCTTTGATAATTGACTTCTGTAGAAATCATGCTAAAGAGGAGTCTAAATAATTGATTAGACTTTTCCAGAAAGTAGACCTAATATTTAGTAAGTCCTCAGAAAAAAGAGTTAAGTCTGAAATGAATCCGGGTGCCCTCTTTCTTTTCTCTTTTTGTCCCCCTTCTTTCTTCTTGCAGTAGTGTGAGTGGTTATTGAAAAACACGCAGGGTGGTATCTAGCTCGATGTCTTTTGCTTCCTAGTTCCATTGTGTGTTACTGCATGTTACTGTGTTACTGCATGTGTCTTTCAAAGAACTGAGGACAATTACTATAAAAAGCAAAGGCTGCTGTCCTTTGTTCTGAGACACGCATGGGAGTCATGATGCTGGGTGTGCTCTGCTGTTTTCACAGGGACTCTGCTCTTGGAGAGGGATTTCCATCTGTTTTTGGAGCTGCCAGAACAGCAACAGACAGCACTTAGTGACATCCTCCAGGCGGTCCTGTTCGATGAAGAATTGCTTGTGGTCCTGGAACAAGTGGTAAGACCACAGACCTCTCAAGGCAGTGCTGCTTCTACCTGGGTTTTCAGGAGATGTGGACAGGCTAGACCTCTTGGGATGAGGCTGTGAGCTGGGATAAAATTGCATTTAAAATTTCCTCACTTCCTTTAAACCTTAAAAGCTTCTCTTTTTCTTATCCCCAGATCCTTAGTTATCTAAATGCAGAAAGGTAGCTGATGTCAAGAATCGAAGTGCAGATTGGTTCCCTCGGGCTGTCATAGTAAATTACTACAAACTCTCTTACAGTTCTGGAGGCCGGAAGTCTGAAGCTGAGAAGTCAGCAGGGCCATGCTTCCCCCACAGGCTCTAGGGGAGGATGCTTCCTTGCCTCTTCCAGCTTCTTGTGGCTCCTGATGCTCCTTGGCTTGTGGCCACACTGCTCCAGTCTCTACTCTGTCTTCCTATGCCCCTGTCTTCTGTGTTAATGTCTTCTCCTTTTCTGTCTCTTAAAGGACACTCACCATTGGATGTAGGACCCATTCCAGCCTAGGAGCATCTCATCTTGAGATCCTTATTTTAATTATATCTGCAAAGACTCTAATTCCAAATAAGGTCAAACTCTAAAGTTCCAGGTGAACATATATTTTGGGGGCCTCTGTTCAGCCCCACTACAAGGGGGCTGTGTGGCAGAGTCCAATAGGTCAATTTATTCTATTTAGAATAGATTGAAAAGCAGGCCTTTGTATTTTTTTGGTTTGTAGCAGCAGGATTTTCTGGTTGAGTTCCTTAACTATTAGTTGTACAAATGGTAAAGGACACACCACCTGGCAACCTGCCAGACTTTGTACTCTCCTTCCTTAAGGGGGCTAGAGCAGATGATTTATATGATAGGTTTTTCTTTTCTTTTTTCTATTATTCAGAGATTTTGAACTCTGATTTTCTGATTCAATGCTTTTATGATTTCCAGAAGAGCATTCATGTTATTTTCCCCTCTTGAAATTGGACTGTACCAAAAGAGCTTGGCCACCGGTGGGGGACCCTATACTTGTAGAAGAGTCTAACAGTCCAAGACATCTGGGTGTTCTGGGCGATGTGCAGCTCAGAAGAGGGTGTACTAGCCCCAGGAAGAACACACATGTTTCAAAAAGCCCCCTGACTTATACTTCCTAGAATAGCTCCAAGAGGGAAATATCAGACCAGTAGTACATTTGGAAAGAACATCAGGTGTCCTGTCAAGTGCAGGAGAAACAAGCTTCCCAGGTAGTGGGGGCCGGTGGGCTCTTCTACGAATGCACCTGATGTAAAGGTGATGATGGAGGAGAGCTCACTCCTTACTGGCAGGGTCACCCGCCTTCCAGCAGGTCCAATGCTCACGAATGGGGCTGCCCTGGGTCTAGCTGGGAATGTGGTTGGGGGCTGCTGTGCCAAATTTAAAGCTGGATAACATGATGGGATAATGTTTTTATGTTCCCCTCCTTAGTGCTGCATGTAGTCACTTGTTCCTGATCTCTGGCACGACCTGACAGACCCTGCCCTGTCCTGGAAGGTTTTCCTGCATCCATTTTACCCTTGCTGTGAAAGAATAGTACCTGGGCAAGGCTGTTTACTCTTTTTATGAGGAAATCTAACCTGGCGGATTAGTAATTTAAAAACAGAAAGGAATTAGGGTTTTGCTTTACTTGGGAGATGGTGGAAGGGCAAGGGGTTGCGTGTCATGGGGCAGAGGCTCAGCTTGGCCTCTGGCTTTACTACATCCATCTCTTTTCTCTTCCTTATGCAGTGTGAGGACATATTAAGTGGCCTGTCACTCCCAATGGCAATACTGGGGAAGCTGAAGCCCCCACAGCAGCAGGACCTCATGGCTTTCCTGTGTCTGGTGGGGTACAGAATGCAGGGCAAGTGTCCAGGCCCAGAGGATACAATCAGCAACCAGGAGCTCTTTTCTACAGCCTACTTCTTGGTCAGTGCACTAGCAGGTATGGAAAGAGAGAAAGAAAGTGCTGTTGTGGCTTTGAAATTGCTTTGCTTATTGTTGTGGAAGATGTGGTAAATATGGTTACTTCCCTTTCAGCAGTACAGGGAGGGTAAGTGAAAGGCTGAGGAAACATATCATCGCCATGAAAAGTCAAAGACTTCAGTGTGATGCCAGCTTCCTCTACTCTCTCTTTTCTCTTCCAAGGAGGGCTGTCTGCAGGCACATACCCTCAGCAGCAAAGGAAGGCATCTCCTCAAACACAGCCTGTGATTCATACTTGAGCCCTGACACTGCTGCATGGAAGTGGCTTCCATCTGCCTAGTGTTTTGGTACTTCTGACCCTCATTGTGCTTTTTCCTCTAGTGTTTTGGTACTTCTGACCCTCATTGTGCTTTTTCCTCTAGTGTTTTGGTACTTCTGACCCTCATTGCAGACTTATTGGCCACCTTGTGTACCTTTGGGCAGGGAGACTGTAGAGAGTATCCCAATGCACTAGGATGCTGGGCCCAGCAGCAACACAGCTTCCACGATGGTCCTGGGATGGCCCTTCTGGAGCACAGTGGTGCAGTGGTTATCTAGGAGTGGACCCTGCCCTGCCACTCCTCTATCACTCCCATCCAGGATTCACCATGCCGGAGGGTCTTGGGTATCAGAAGGTAGTCATCCTATGTAAGGAGGCTGGGCTTCCAGTTCCTTCTTGGAAAGGCAAGACCTGGCACAGCAGCCTAGGATCTCTGTCCCCACAACTTCCCTTCATGATGATATTAGTTGAGGTGTTGACTTCCTGATGCATTCATGGCTGCTCCCCAGCACCACAGACAAACAGAGGCCAAGGAGATTATCAGGTTTTAAAAAGTTAATCAGACAGGATCCCTCTTGCTAGCTCTACATGCCAACGAATATATGTTACGTATATATGCTGTGTTCTAATTCATGGATACATGTTTTAACTAGGACAGGACATAAAATAGAGGCCTGTGGAACACTACTAGAGACCCTTCCTCCCTGATGTTAACATCAGTGTACTCGAGTCTTTCGATATAGCCATTCTATTAGGGGCTAATCTACTGGCCAGAGTTTTCCAGTTTGTGAAGGGCTTTTTTTTTTTTTTTTTCTCACATGCCTTATTACTTATTGAAATATTTGTATCAATAGCCTAGTTCAGTGATGTGAAATATGCAGTATGTGGCTGAAATGGTGAATGCATCACAGTCCCCTTCTCCTTGAAACCTGGACAAAGTTTCAAATTCTCTGCAGCCTTGCACATAGGCAGCCACTGGGAGTTGACACATAACCTGAGACTTACTTGCTGTTTCTGACAAGTTGTCAGAACAACTGCTGTCAGTTGTTTTGGATGCTCAACCGACTGAGCCACCCAGATGCCCCTATCAGTTCTAGTTTTTTGATGGGAGTTTTCTGGGTTTTCTATACATAGTATAATGTCATTTGCAAAGAGTGAAAGTTTGACTTCTTCCTCACCAGTTTGAATGCCTTTTTTATTGTTGTCTGATTGCTGTGGCTAGGGCTTTTAGTACTATTATGTTTAATAAAAGTGGTGAGAGTACACATCCTTATCTTGTTCCTGACCTTAGGGGAAGACTCTCAGTTTGTCCCCATTGAAGATGATGTTAGCTGTGGGTTTTTCATAAATGGCATTTATTATGTTGAGATAAGTTCCCTCTAAACCTACTTTGTTGAGGGTTATTATGATGAATAGATGTTGTACTTTGTCAAATGCTTTTTCAGTGTCTATTGAAGTGATCATTTGGTTCTTAGCTTTTCTCTTATTAAAAAAATTTTTTTTTATTTTTTTATTTTTGAGAAACAGACAGGGAGAGGGGCAGAGAGAGAGGGAGACACAGAATCTGAAGCAGGCTCCAGGCTCTGAACTGTCAGCATACAGCCCGACACAAAGCTTGAACTCATGAATCATGAGATCATGACCTGAGCTGAAGTCAGATCCTTAACCAACTTATCCTTTCTCTTATTGGTGTGATGTATCACATTGATTTGTGACTATTGAATCAACCTTGCAGCCCAGGAATAAATTGCATTTGGTCATGGTGAATGATTTTTTAAATGTATTGGGTTTGGGTTCGGTTTGCTAGTATTTTCTTGAGGATTTTAGAATCCATGTTCATCAGAGATAATGGCCTAAAATTCTGTTTTGTTTTGTTTTGTTTTGGTGTTTTCATCTGGTTTTGCTATCAGGATAACACTACTCTCATAGAATGAATTTGGAACTTTTTTCCTTCCTTTTTATCTTTTGGAATAGTTTGAGAAGCATAGTTATTAACTCTTCTTTAAATGTTTGGTAGAATTTGCCTGTGGAACCATCTGGTCCTGGACTTTGGTTTCTTGGGAGTTGTTTGATTACTGATTCAATTTCTTTGCTGGTAATCTATTCAAAGTTTCTATTTTTTTTTTTTTCCTGTTTTGGTAGGTTATATGTTTCTAGGAATTTATCCATTTCTTCTAGGTTATCCAGTTTTTTGACATATAATTTTTTATACTACTCTCATATAAGTTGTATTTCTGTGGTGTTTGTTATTTTTAATCTCTCATTTGTGACTTTATTTGGGTCCTTTCTCTTTTTTTCTTGATATGTCCAGCTAGAGGTTTATCAATTTTTTTGTCCCCCTCCCCCGCAAAGAACCAGCTCCTGGTTTCATTGATCTTCCATTGTTGTCTTAGTTTCTATATCATTTATTTCTGTTCTAGTCTTTATTATTTCCTTCCCTCTGCTGGTTTTAGGTTTTGTTCTTTTTCTAGCTCCTTTAGGTATAAGATTAGATTGTGTATTTGACATTTTTGCTGTTGGGGCAGGCCTATATTGCTATACACTTTCCTCTTATGACTGCTTTTGCTGCATCCCAAAGGTTTTGGACCATCATGTTTTCATTTTCATTTGTTTCCATGTAATTTTTAATTTTGCCTTTAATTTCCTGGTTGACTCATTTATTGTTTAGTAGCATGTTATTTAACCCCCATGTATTTGTGGTGTTTCCAGATTTTTTCTTGTGGTTGACTTCTAGTTTCATAATGTTGTAGTCAGAAAAGCTGCATGGTATGACTGATCTTTTTAAGTTTGTTGAGGCTTGTTTGTGGTCTAATATGCGGTCTGTTCTGCAGAACGTTCCTTGTGCACTTGAAAAGAATGTGTATTATGCTGTTTTAGGAAGGAATGTTCTGAATATAACTGTTAAACCCATCTGGTCCAGTGTGTCACTCAAAGCCATCTTCTTGCTGATTTTCTGTTTAGATAATCTGTCCATTGATATAAGTGGGGTGTTAAAGTCCCCTCCTGTTACTGTATTATTATAGATTAGTTATTTCCTTTATGTTTGTTATTAACTCCTTTATGTATTTGGGTGCTCCCATGTTGGATGCATACATATTTCAATTTTTATGTCTTCTTGCTGGATGATGGCCTCTTTATTATTATATAGTGTCCTTCTTTGTCTCTTGTTACAGTCTTGTTTTAAAGTCTATTTTGTCCAATATAAGTATTGCTATACCAGCTTTCTTCTGACATCCTTTTGCATGATAAATGTGTCTCTATCCCCTCACTTTCAATCTGAAGGTGTCTTTAGGTCTAAAATAAGTCTTTTGTTGGGGTGCCTGGGTGGCTCAGTCGGTTAAGCATCTGCTGACTTAAGCTCAGGTCAAGATCTCACCATTCCCAAGTTGGAGTCCCACGTCGGGCTGTGTGCTGACAGCTCAGAGCCTAGAGCCTGTGTCAGATTCTGTGTCTCCCTCTCTCTCTGCCCCTCCCCTGCTTCCACTCTGTCTCTCTCTCTCAAAAATAAATACTAAAAAATTTTTTTTAAAAAATAAGTCTCTTGTTGGCAGCATATAGATGGGTCTTATTTTTTAATCTACTCTGTTACTCTCTATCTTTTGATTGGAGCATTTAGTCCATTTATATTCCAAGATATTATTGATATGCATTTGTTGCCATTTTATTATTTGTTTCGTGGTTGTTTCTGAACATTTTCTCTGATCCTTTCTTGCTTTCATGGTTTACTGGTTTTCTTTAGTGATATATTTGCATTTCTATCTCTTTATTCTTTGCCTCTTTACTAGTGCTTTTGGTTTGTGGTTACCATTAGGTGTGTACATAACATCTTCTGCATGTAGCAGAACATAACATAGCATAACATCTTCTGCATGTAAGTTGGTTACTTATGTTTGAACCCATTCATTACTCCTTCTTTCTCAATGTTTTAAGTACATAGTGTCATATTTTATGTCTTTTTTGTGAGTTCCTTGACTGTTTTTTCACAGAAATACTCATTTTTATTGCTTTTGTGTTTTTGACCTTCATACTGTCATTTTTTTATCTTTCCTTTCTAGTCAAGAGTCCCCTTTAGTATTTCTTGCAGGGCTGGTTTAATGGTCATGAACTCCTTTAGTTTTTGCTTATCTGGGAAAATCTTTATCTCTCTTCTATTCTAATGATAGCCTTGCTGGACAGTGTTCTTGGCTGCTGATTTTTCCCACTCAGTACTTTGAATATATCCTGCCACTCCCTTCTGGCTTGGAAAGTTTCTGCTGAAAAATCCAGATAGCCTTATGGTGTTTTCTTTTGTATGTAACTGGTTACTTTGTCTTGCTGCTTTTATTCTTAAATTTTTATTTACCTATTTATTTGTTTGACAGAGTGCAAGCAAACAAGTGGGGAAGGGCAGAGGGAGGGAGAGAGAATCTTAAATGGGCTCCATGCCCAGTGCAGAACCCAATACTGAGGCTTGCTCCCACAACCCTCAGATCATGACTTGAGCTGAAATCAAGAGTTGGATGCTTAAATGACTGAGCCACCCAGGTGCCCCTGTCTTTTAATATTTTTTCATTATCACTATATTTTGCCATTTTAATTACAGTATGTCTTGGTGTGCATCTGCTTTTGCTGATTTAGTTGGAGGTTCTCTGTGCCTCCTGAATCTGGATATCTGTTTCCTTCCCTGGATCAGGGTAATTTTCAGCTATTATTTCTTCAAATAAATTTTCTGGCTCCTTTTCTCTCTCTGCTTCTTCTGGAACTCCTATAATGTGAATGTCATTACATTTGATGGAGTCACTGAGTTTCCTAAGTCTATTCTTGTTTTGCATAGTTATTTTTTCTCTTTTGTTCAGCTTGATTTCTTTCCATTACTGTCTTTTCTATCATTAATTGATTCCTGTGTTTTCTCCAGCCTGATACTCATGCCATCAAGACTGTTTCTCATTTTGTTTGTTTATTGAGCCCTTTATCTCTGCTATGTTATTCCTTATCTCTGGGTTAATGGTCTCCCTAGTGTTCTCCACTCTTTTCTCAAGTCCTATGAGAATCCTTAGGATCACAGCTTTAAATTCTTTACCAGGCATGGTACTATATATCTGTTTTTCTTAGAACTTCTGAGGTAGCCTTGTCTTTTCATTTGGGACAAAATGTCTTCTTATTTTGTCTAAGTCTCTGTGCCTGTTTCGTTGTTAGGAAAGTTAGCTACATCTTCTGTTCTTACCCTTAGGTAAGGGCTTTATGAAGAAGAGATCCTGTAGTGCTCTGCAGTGTAATGGCCCCTGTTCCCCAAGGCCTGGTGATTCCAGGAGTGTCTCTAACGTGTCCTGGCTACTTTATCCTTCAGACTAGTCTATAGAGCCTCTCTTTGTTGTGGACAGAGTTTGGTCCTTGGCCTGAGTTGGTGTGTTTAACTAGGTGTGCTCTGGTCTGCTTGTTAATGAGATCTATTGCTGCTGCCACTGGAACAGAGGCCTCACAAAACGTGTAAGTCAGGAGATGCAGTGTTGTCAGGAGTTTGGGGCCCTCTTCTGAAGGGGGGGCCTGCTGGGAATGAGGCAAGCATGACTGGAAAGTGTGGTTCTTGCAGAGCATGATGCTAGGTATAATTGAGTTAAGTACCAACTGTTGGCATTACACTTTTTAGAACTTTAAAATTTTTTTACATGTTTTTATTTATTTGTGTGAGAGAGAGAGACAGAATGCAAGCTGGGCAGGGGCAGAAAGAAAGGGAGACACAAAATCCAAAGCAGCCTCTAGGCCCTGAGCTGTCAGTACAGAGCCCAATGCAGAGCTGGAACTCGTAAACCACAAGATAATGACCTGGGCCGAAGTTGGATGCTCAACCGACTGAGCCAGCCAGGTGCCCCTTGCCCTGGTTACTACAGGTGACTCTGCTTTTATGTTAATGGGAGGGGTAGGGGAAGGCATTTGCCAGTTCCTATGTTCTCAGAGGGGTCTCTCTATGAACACTGTCTCTCTAGAACATGCTCTCAGATGAGCAACTAACCTCCCCAGTGTGTGCCCCAAGACACTCTTCAGATTGCTATTTCATGCTGTATGTCTGCGGGCTATTTGGGGCTGCTCTTGAAGAGAAGGCAGGCGATGTCCTTTAAAAATCGGGGCTTTAAGCACCCCTGGTTGCAAGAACTCAGGAAGTAAGTGCCCTTTTGCTTTCCAAGCCAATTGCTGTGGGGATTCATTTTTTCTGTATGCTCCCCTGTGTTTCACCCTTCTCTGTGACCACTGCTCCCTCCATTCTGTGGTTGCCATGATCCATTTCTCTCTCAAGCCACAACTCTGGACTCTATCTTCTTGATGTGGCCTCTTCTCTACCTTTAGTTGTGGAGTTTATTCTGCCAGTCTTCAGATAGATTTCTGGCGTCCTTAGGATGATATGATAGTTGTCTAGTTGTATTTGTGGGATGCAGCAAGCCTAGGTTCCTCCTACTCAGCTGCCATCTTCCCCTTCTTCTTCAAGTAGGCCTGTCATGGGAAAACTGGGGGTAGTAGGCAGCCAAGAACTCTCTCCATTTGTTACTGTCCCATGGGGCCCAGGATCTCAAGCCTGCTCACCACCAGAGCCAGGTGATCAAGAGGTATTCTCTGGCTGGCAACCATAAAAACTAGAGCATCAGACCCGTGCGATGGCTCCCCTCCAGGCGATATTGGTGCTCTGGAGTGTGGTAGAGGAAGGATGCAAAGATGGTAAGCACTGGCAGCTATCTATCCTTACAGTGTACTCCAGCAGGCCTCTCCTCTGTTTGAGGTGTCTGCCCTTTAGATTGCTGCTTGTTTCTTTTTTAATGTTTGTTTTTGAATGACAGTGTGAGCAGGGAGTGGCACAGAGAGAGGGAAACACAGAATCCAAAACAGGCCCCAAGTTCTGAGTCTGGATGTGGGGCTCAAACCCAGAAACTGTGAGATCATGACCTGAGCTGAAGTTGGATGCTTAGCTGACTGAGCCACACAGGCACCCCCAGATTGCTGCTTTAAGATAACAAGCCTGTTGCACAGAAAGTCTGGACACCTGTCAAACGGCTGGCTTGGTGTAGGTAAGTCCATGTGCAAGGCTTTAATGAACCATTTCTCAGTTTGCTATAGCCTTGTGGGTCTCAAGGACATGAGCCCCATTGGCTTTCAAAGCTAGAGGTGTAAGGAGCTGGTTCCTGGGGTGCCTGTCTTAAAAATGTAGGGTTCAAACTCTTTGCTTTTCATAGAGAAGCTTTTAAGTTCTCTTCCAATTGTGGGTCACTGTGCCAAAGGTGGGGTTTATGGTGACTTTGTGGCTCAGCCTTTCTTACCTGCTTCAATGTGGGATGTTCCTTGCTTGCCAGATGTGTAGGAGTTGCTCTGGTGGTTGTGGGTTTTTTTTTTCAGAGGATATTGTTCCATATGTAGCTGGAGATTTGGGGCACCACAGGAAGAGGTGGGTTCAGGATCTTCCTACATTGCACCTTGAACCAGTCTCTTCATGCTTAACTTATCCAGCATCTTGCCTGTGTCTGGAACTCTTCCTCAACCACTTTGTGACCTTAAGTGTGAACTCCTCAGGTCTCATTTGTAAAGAGAATACAGAAGAGCAGTCAAAATAAATCATTTCAACTCAAGAAATACTGAAGAGGCCTCTTATGTGTTGTAGGCACTGCTAGGTGCTGAGATAGGGGAAGATAATCATCTGCACCCACAGGGAAGTTAAAGTAGTAAAATTAGTTGGTATGGTTTGTAAAGCAGATGCTGTTATTTCATCCTTCTCTCCTTACCACCATTGCTCAAAATAGTGAATGACTATCCTCCTAACCTGGAACTAAAGTATTTCTAAGAATAAGGGAGAGTGGATGATGACTACACGGGACTCAGGAGCCAGAAAAGTGAGGGAATGGAAGCATAAACACGGGAGATGATGTGTGACAGTGGCTCGGCCAGGACATGATCATGTTCCAGGTGACTTTGTCACTGCCCTTCCCGGTCCTGTGATCTTTCCACCTGGGGTCATATATTTACCAGCTGCATCTTCCTGATTTGAGATAAGGGCCTGCTTGATAATTCATGGACTGTGGACCCTCTCTGTGGGCAAATGCAAACACAACATTTAAATGCAATTTTAGGGGGTTCTCAAGAGGGAGGACTGCCTTATCTTCCTAGCAGCATTTCTGTCTTAGAAATGGGCTATAGTTCATTGTACTCTGCTGGGCCACAGCCTTGGTGACATGTTGCTATTTATAAATAAGGCTGCTAACGAATGCAGGAAATGGAGGGAGTTCATGAGTGGTCCCTGGACCAGATGATGCAACAGGTGACTCATTTCTCTCTTTGCCTTTCCAGTTCAAAGGTTATAGCCTGAGGGATTTGGGTTCTCTGTGTCTGTTTTTATCCTGGTTGGTATTTAAAATCCATTTTGAATAACATTGATGTGGATTTCCTTTTCCTGGGACTTGGCAGGGCCCTTCCAGTGTAGCCCTCAGCCTCATCACAACCCTGCACCAACTCATTGTGCCATTGGTGCCCCTTGTGTCAAGCTAGTGTGGGTGGCTGGAGGGGCTCTGCAGTGCCACCCCTTTATCCAGCCATGTTGCATTTTTGTCCCCAAAATGACTAGTGACCTGAGTGGAAGGAACCCTTCACAGTTTACTTGGTTCTCTGGCATATGCAGAAACAAAACTATGGTCAAATGAGGAAACATGCTCACAGAGGTATACCCAAAGTCCTACCCTAAATATGTAGCACAGCTCAAACACAGCTCTTATCACCAAATCTTAGGTTCTTTTTTTTTTTTTTTTTTTTTTTTTTTTTTTTTTTTTTTTGGGTGAAAAAATTTAGATTTAGCCAGCTGGATTCCATTTAGATGATCTCAATTTCATTGGCAATAGTCAAAGTATCATAGTGAGGAGCCAGTTGAACATATGCTGCCTTCTCTCCATTGGGCCTGATGGAGGTGTTGATCTTGGCCACATCAATGTCATACAGCTGCTTCACACAGCCTGTGCTTCACACAGGCTTCATACAGCCTGTTTTATCTGGTGCTTGTTGGCTTTGACCTCCATAATGAACACAAGTGTGTTATTCTCTTCTGTTTCCTTCATGGCTGACTCAAGATTAGGGGGAACTTGATGATGGCATAGTGGTCAAGTGGGTTTCTCCTGGTCGGGGGGCACTCTTTTGAGGGTATTTGGGCTGCCTTTGGAGACACAGTGTCTTGGCCTGTTGGAAGGTAGGTGACGTAGATTTGTGTGTGTGTGTGATTTCAGCACCCTTTTCTGGGCCTTCAAAGCCTTTGCTTTGGCTTTGGGAGGGGCACAAGCTTCCTTCTTCACCTTTGTTGTCTTTAAGAAAAGGTAGGTTCTACTTTTCTACATAAATTTGCTTTTCCTTGTGTCTGTACAGTTCTTCCTGATTGGCAAATTGAATGCCAAGGACTATCCTCTAGTGAACACAGAGCTGGTTACCTGGTTCCCACCTAAAAGGCCTTTGCTGCCTCTTTAGCACCTTTCATTTTTTCAGTAATTACTGAGACTGAGCATGTTCTCTGCCTGGCTGATGGGAGAGCACTAAAGTATAAATTAGGTACAATTCAGGGGCTGGCCTGTTCCCATGGGTTTTTTGGACAGTGACTGATGTTTGTCTCCTGCAGAAATGCCAGACAATGCAGCGGTTCTGCTGGGTGTTTGCTGTAAACTCCAGATTATTCCTGCGCTGTGTCACTTGGTAAGAAACCTCTCAGATGGGACCTGGGGATGGGCACCCGACAACTGATAAAACACCTTTAGGATTTCTCATCCATAACAGCCCTTCAAGATAGGTTAAACAGATGTTATTAACTCCACTTTTTTTTTGTATCACACTGTCCACATCACACCACACACCCTACCCTATGGGAAGACTGAGATTGAGAGGAAAAGGATTTGTACAAAGAACTTGTTAGTAGGGTAGGACTCTCAACTTTGCCATTAGATTCCAAATCTCATGTTTTTCCCAGTGTTTGGAGAATTTTGGTCAAGGTTTGGTTGCAACATTGCAGGGAAGGAACCTGACACCATTTGCAGGGTTATGGTTAGGCCAGTTGGATACAGCTCTGCCTCAAATTCACCAGGAAGGTATTTAAGAGGAGACTGGTCTCAGAGTTAGGTAGTGATGACCTTAGCCCTGGAGAGTCAAGATTAAGCCTTACCTTTTTAAGTTACAAATTGGGTCATTAATAGAAGGAACCATCAATACACTGCCCAGAAGTCACTCGAATGGGGCAGGTGTTGCTCAGCCTGGGGCAGAGAACAAAAGCATACCAGGCTAGATTATTTTAAGGTCTGGTTACCGGACATGCTTTGTAGGCTAAAAAATCCAAAGCTCAGAGCTCTGCTCCCAGATCTGGGAAGTAGGTATTGAGATTAAGTGCCTGGACAGGACCCTGAAATTTGTTATCCATCTAGTCTGAGAACTTTGAGCACCATGCTTAGTGCCTTGGGTACTTCTCTGAATAGCAAAGACATCTGAACAAGGGCATTGTTCCAAGGAACAGTTTACAGCCCATTCACAACTGAAAGCAGTTTCTACCCACTGGTAGAGGAATTCTGGGTTCTTGTACTGTGACCACAAAAACTGAACTACTTGAAAATGTGCCAGCATGTTTGTTCTGGGGTCAGCTAAGGGTAAAGGCTGGTGGTGTAGTTATGAAAACAGTATCATCTATTTGTCCGTAATGATGAGCATAGCAGTAACTTTGCACTTAGCATTTCCCAGGGTCCTAAGATTTACAAAATTATCTACTGCATTCAGGAAATACTTCCTGAATTGTGTGTATATTACTGCAAGACCACATTAGCTAATTCCCGTTCCCAACAAACTCATACTTCATTGTCATCTTCCTTGTAGTCTGCGTTAGATCTGATCATCCAAGTTCTGCTTTGTTGGTCTAAAGGTAGCCACATTCAGGGTTCTAGAATGGCTGGTATTCTACAGTGGCACAAAAGCCCACAGAGTCATTTGTGTGGTTTTTGGGAGCTGTTCAACATAGACAAAGAATTTTTCTTTTGAAGAATTTCCTGGGTATCTTCACATAATCTGCCCTAGATACTGCAGCAACGCTAAAGACAATGAGGCTCCTGCCTTCTGAACGAATTTGGGTATTGTGTTTCTTATAGGGATTTACTTAGAACAGGTACAAAATTCTACCTGTATTCCTGTCTTCTCTTATCTGGTGGCCAGAATAACTTGGAGAGCCTTTCAGAAGGGCTTTTGGAAGAACAGCATCAGATACACTAATTGTTTGCCAAACTGGGAAGAAGGTGAGTTAGAGACTGCTAATTCTGCGCCTGCCCCCACCCTTTGGGTGACCCTTACCTAGAAGGGTCTCTGGACCCATGGGCCTGGCAGATATTCAGAGTAGGAAGCTGGATGCTGCTCAGCCCCTATCCACTAGACTCCAGACACAGCCTGCTATAGGCAGTCTTGAGGCTGTGCCAGTAGAGCTCATTCTTAAATCGCTGGGATGTGGTGCTCAAAGAGCAAGCCTGGTCCACTCTGAAGTCAAACAGAGTTGATGGTCTTGACCAAAAGCTGATGTTAAGCCTGTGGTAATTACTTTTATCAAATGCGTGCTGCACTTCTGCCACTGGGGCAAGTTTTAGTAAGGTTATCATTGCTCAGGACATTTCTGGAAATTTTTTGGATTCCCTTCATTTTTTTATTTTAAATTTTACTCTCTACATTAATTGGATCTGGTTTTCAATGCCTGTGTAAAAATCTGAGAACTTGCAATTAGAGCAGCAGCTGAAGTGAACTCTCATTCAGCACATTGAGGGCACTATGTTCTATGACAGACCAGCCTCCTAAAAAGCTTAGATTTTAGAAAACAGACTAAACAGTGACTATCTTCAGAAAGACAGTAGGGTAATAGTCGTTGAGATATGGGGGTGGAGGGAAGATCAGGAAAGGCTGTTCTGACGTGGCATTTCAATGGACCATGAGAGAGGAGAAGAAAAGGTCTATGTGGAACTCTAGAGGAAGAGTCTCCCAGGTAGAAGGAATAGCAAAAGAAAGGTTCTTGAGGCAGGAAGCATAACTAAACTGTGGTACTTAGCCCTTTGAGGAGATCAAGCAGCTGTATAGGAAATTCTAATATCATTAAAATAAACAATACATACTGTGTGTATGGGAAAGTTACATTCTGAACTTCCTAATCTCCTGAAGTTAAGGGATCTAGGAGAAGATACAGAGTTCAGAGAGTAGAAGGACTGTCAGAACTGCAGGCAAATTGGAAAACTCAGGCATAAGGTCAGGGCCCAGGTCACATAAATCTTGTTATTTGTTACATCTTAAGGGTGCTCCTTTTGAGGAATGTAAAAAACTATTTTTTCTCTGTGGATTTTCTGTAACATTTTAAGTGAATTTGCTTAAACATGTCATTTCAGTTTCATGGTCTCTCGGCTGATGGAGTATCTGATCTTAAAAACCCAATCTTGGCTCCTCTGAAGGATCTAGAAAGGTTTGGTGTCGCACAGCGTTTGTTTGCCACAGTCAACATGAACCTGGAGAGACTGCCGTCATCCATAAAAGTTGTCACCGAGGAGGACCCCAACACTGTCCCACGAATTCTTTATATAAGCCTCAGTGGGCTCTGTGCTTTACGCAGAGCACATTAATAACATGTGAATTAGAAGTACAAGACCATCAAAGTTAGGTATTTTTCAGAATTGTTAAGATACTACTGAGTTTAGCTACCAAGAGGCCCAGTGTCTAAGGTAACTCCAGCACCCACAGGGTTGAGAACTCTAAGCTGGTGTTTAGTTAAAACCCTCTTCTACAGCGAGATAGGTCCATCTATCACTTTCTTTCATAAAGACAGCTGAGTCTATAGAACATGTGCTGATTGAGGAAATGAACTGTAAATACCACTACAGTATACATATTCCTCTGCTGAATAAAATTAAAATGATCTCATAGCAGGACACCCTTCCTTAGGGGTCTAGCTATATACATTTCATTTTTGTCATGCTTTGACTAACATACCAATTCTAGGTCTAGAACAATGCTGATTTCCTATGCATTCTGGATGTTTGATTTGTAAAATACTACATATTTTAATTCTGTCTTGACATTCTTCTATAAAAATGCATGGAATGTCTCTTTAGTGCCCCTGATTCCATTGCTAATATCCACTGGGGACCTGAAATCCCTTCTTTCCCTTAGTAAAAAGTAGCTAGGACCTCCTGCCAGAGGTCTGACTTTAGGAGCAGGGAGGATGAGAAGTCGCAGTTGTTGAAGAGAAACATGTTACCCAGCATGCATATGCATATATATATATATATATATATATATATATATATATATATATATATATATATATATATATATATATATATATATAACCTTGTCATCTACTTGAATGTTAAAATGGAAGAGATGAAGCAAACAACGCTTTCATTGCTTCAGTCAAAAACGAGACTAAATCTTAGGACGCATGAGGAAAAAAATTGCACATTGTGTGGCAACAACAAAAAAAGCACCTTAGCTACAGCTGTGGCACTATACATTGCCTTTCTGGCTTTCTGAAATAAACTTTTATAAACAACAAACTGAGGACAGATTGTGTAAGAAGAATCTACTTGTATAAAAAATAGATACACATGTACCACAGTGCAACGGGAGCTTCCTTTAAGAGTCCACAAGAAGCGGCACCTGAGTGGCTCAGTCAGTTAAGCATCTGACATCGGCTCAGGTCATGATCTCCCGGTTCGTGAGTTCAAGCCCCACGTTGGGCTCTGGGCTGACAGCTCAGAGTCAAGAGCATGCTTCGGAGTCTGTCTCCCACTGCCTGTCCCTCCGCCATTTGCACTGTGCCTTTCCATTGTCTCAAAAATAAACATTAAAAAAGCCCACAAGAAACCTGACAGTGGCTCCTTGGGGGAAGAGAGAGGAGTTAGAAGTTGGGGCAAGGCTAGGGGAGTTACCCTTCTGTTCCTGTTAGAATTTTGTATGCATGAGCCTCTAAGTTGAAATGCACCAACTAACACCACCCCAAAGCAACAAAAACTAAAGATGCCATCCCAGGATGTGCCTATACTGCTACAGGTGTTCCTAGCCACCCTGCCACCCCCCAGTTACTGCCATTCCTTAGCAGACCCCAATGTAATGTTGTGGACAAAGTAGTGCTGGGCCTCCAAAAGGCTCTTCTAACTGGAATCTTCATCACTACATATAATTATTAACTGTAAATGTACCTTTATTTACTGCTTGAGATCAAGAACTATTAAAAATAGTTACATTTGGAAACAAGTTCCAGTAGACTAGATCACCTAGAAAACAGAAAATAGGGTAATACTTCTGAAGAGGCCAGCCACCTTCACTCAGATGTTTCCATGACCACTCCTCTTTCCTAAGTGGGTGCAGAAAGAAACACATTAGCTAGTGTGGTATGGCCCTGGAACAGTCCCTCAGAGAGGTCCAGAATGTAATAATCCCTGGAACCTGTGAACATGTTACCTTACATGCCAAAAAGGGACTTCACAGGTGTTTTTCAGGTTACAGACCTTAAGATGGACAGATTATCTGGGTGGGCCCTTAAAAGAAAAAAGGCAGAAGAGTCAGAGAGATACTTGGCCAAAGAAAATGCAGGAAAGATGTGGCATAAGAAGGACTCAGTGCTGTTGCTAGCTCTGGGACAGGAGAGGTCAGTTCAAAAACAAGAGTGCAGTCCACCTGACAGCCAGGAAGAGGGGACCTGAGTTCTACAACACCATGGAACTGAAGTCCGCCAACAACCCACAGGAACCTGGAAGCAGATTCTCTCTCCAGCAGTAAGAGCCAGGGCAGGCCCTGGGAAACGTCTCAATTTTAGTTTGGCGAGACCCATGTTGGATTTCCATCCTACAGAACTAAGTCTGTGTTTTAAGCTGCTAAATTTGTGGTAATATTTTTACTGCAGTGGTAGAATACTGGCAGCGTAAGATGAAAGAATGAACGATACAAGTGAGAAGTACACTGGACTAGCAGTTTCTGAAGTACAAGGTAGGGAATCCCAGAAACTTGCTTGAGAAAGAGTTGCAAAGTACCTTTTCTGGAAGCAGGCTTCATGCACTCACCCACAGTCATGCGTCTACCTCTTGGGCAGCCTGGCAGGTCCACCTCCCTTTTCCACCGCAGGCCTCAAGGGTGAGCTGTGTGCCCCAGCAGGCGTTGTCTTTCCCACCGGGGCTTCTCTTGCTTGGCTGGTCCTAGCATCTCATGCTATCTAAGCACAAAGGCCTTTTCTTGATCCTATATTTTAATCTTCCCTGTGTCTGCAGTTTCTTTTTCCTTGAGTACATCACCTTTGAAAGCCACCAAATCACTTGGGCTGGGACAAAGGAAACAACAGTTAGGGTTTCCTTGTTAAAGAAGAGAAGCAGGTGAAAAATTTATATATTTATTTTGGTGAGAAAAACAATGTTATTACAGGCTTTTTACAAAGATTATTAGCATTTAAAAGAAATTACCAAAGCTAATCTGATATCCTCTGTATTACCTCTAAACCTTAATTCTACCTATAAATGAAACACTGCATTGTTTGCAATATTAAATATTTATTTTTATATATACAAAAATAGTTTACCTGGAATATACAATCTCCCATGTTTGGACAGGATATGGAAATATGCAAAAAAAATTTATAGGGACAGTTTCTGAAAACTCAATACTTAATTGTACTGCAGGAAAATTTTATTTATACAAGGACAGCAGTAATGTTTCTTTTATACAGGAATAATACAATTACTTGGAAAGCAGCAGCAATCAAATTTTATTTTTAAACTTTTTCATTAGAAAACTTAAGCAGCTTGTTCAGCTTTTATTTTTAGGTTGCTAATAAGCATTTTGTCTTCTGTTAAAAAAAAAAAGTTCTACAACCATTTCAAAGACTAGAGGTTAAAAACAGCATGCATTTGTGTTCAAAATAGAGATATACCAAACTGAAATGGGGAGGGGGACCCCAAAGCAAGGTTTTCACATCAAATACTCACCATGGGCTCTAACAGAACTCAACATGCAGAAAACTACACTTGTTTTGCTGAACCCTAGTGCTCATTCTTCTCCAGCAAAACCCTAGATCCCACTTCCTTAAAAGTCAACATTACCAAAGAAACAGCAGTTGGTTCTTCTTTTTCAAAGAGGACACACAACCAAAAGGAATATTTATCTTATATTTCAATTACAGATGAGATGAGCTATTCTTCAAATTTGGTTCTACCTGAAAAGATGAAGGCATTCCTCATTTGGACCACGTTTACCAGAACAAGCTTTATGTCTTCAAAGCAACATTATTTGTCCCACTGCCCGTCTCTCCTATTTAAGAATAAGACAAAACCCACATATGTTAACTGGTGATGACTTCTGGTTTAATAGTGGTAATTTATAGCTGAGGAGTTTTGAGTGCTCTGCTTTTTTCCACTTCCTCCAAGCTCTCAGGCCACCTTGACTGATAGGAGGAAAGCTAAATTTCAGGTATGGCCTGCCATATTTGTAGGTTTCTGCCCCCAGAGTTTGCTGTGGCTAAAGTACAACAAAAATATCCAGTCCAACTTGTAAGATCAGACCTTTTAGCTTCTGCTTTGTGGCAACAACAATACCTATTCAGTAGGACTCAAGACAGGTTTACAAGCATGGAGTCAATTGCTCTCCCAAGTATTAAGTGGCATTTACATTAACTGTAGCTGTGTTCATTCAGTTTGTGCTAGAAATTAGAAAACAGTAAAAACTAGTAGGGGAAAAAAGGGAAGGAACTGTCACTTCTGGCTGACTGGCATGTGGAGGCAAGTCACATTCATCACAGCACAGCATTATCAGCCAACAGCCACGAAGCTATGAGAAAGAATGCAACTAAGATATCTTCATATTGGATTCAAGGTCCACTAAGTGGGTCTAGCCAAAACATTTCTCCCTATAAATAAACAGAGGCCTTTTAAACTTAATACTATGGGCTAAACAATAGGGCTGCAGTGATAAATTTCAGCCATAAGAATTAAGGTAGGGCAGCTTTAAGGGGGGCAAAGATTAGAATGTGGTTGGATGTAAGAGAGTACTGGATTGCTTAAATTTTGTGAGTAACAGCAAGAATTCGCTAAAGGTTTGGACTTAGAGGTGGCATTCTAAACTAAATGACTCTCCTGACCAACGCCACTGAGAGCAGAAAAGGCCCTCTTCCAAGGCTGGAACTACAACCTCAGAGCTGTTTTAAAACTGGAGGTAAGATTCTTGAATGGTATGTACCATTCATTATGTAACCTCTGAAAGAGATGCACTTTTAAAAAAAACTAAATGGTAAACAACCTCAATATAAGTGAATACATAAAATAAATGGATAAAGCAGCCTAATAAGGATTTCCCAGTCTAGCATTTACTATATCAGAGATACAAATTGCTTCTTGTAATTTAAGGTGAAGACAAATATTAAGCTAGCCTTATTTAACTAGTGGAATATTAAAAGTAAAGGGAGATATAAATTTTATCAAAGGTCAGGTGGTCAAGAATCAGAATTAGGATCTCAGCTAGAAGTACACCATCTCTATTTTTAACAAAAGAGATTATTTTAAAGAAAGTACTGCCATGTACTGCAGGAGTGGTAGAGAACCATTCTTTAAAATTCTTACCTTGGAAATGAGATATCGTTCCTTCACTTTTTACTGTGTTAAAGACTCATTTTTGATTCTGTGCACTAAATAATTCCAGGAACACAAAAAAGTAACATAATGGATGGGAAATATTTAAAAATGAATAAAACTTGAAGCTAACAAAAAATTAAAAAATCATCTTACCTTAAAGAATTAAAGAGTTATCTCCTTTAGATATGCAATGTATACTCAAAAACTCATATGCTGAATTATTAGTTGTATTCTTAAAAGTTTGTGAATAATAGGGGCACCTGGGTGGCTCAGTCAGTTAAGCGTCCGACTTCGGCTCAGGTCATGATCTCACGGTTTGTGAGTTCAAGGCCTGTGTCAGGCTCTGTGCTGAGAGATCAGAGCCTGGAGCCTGCTTTGGATTCTGTGTCTCCCTCTCTCTCTGCTCTTCCCCCACTCATGCGCTCTCTCTCTCAAAAATAAACAAACATTAAAAAAAAAGAAAGTTTGTGAATATTCACTTGTACTATATACAATAATGCCATTATTTAAAATACTGAATTTCTCCCAAAACTAAAAATGCAGATATTACACAGATATTTTCACAGCAAATCCATTAGAAGAGGAGGGCAGTTACCCCAATCTCTCAATCTGAGTCATATCACAAATTCATTTGAAAGCTTAAATAAGTATTTCCCAAGACAATGCCATTTAGAACTCTGTCCTTTTTCCTTAAGGAAATTGTTATAGTGATAATTTTCTGATCTGAATTTCATCATACATTTTTTTCAAAAAGGAGATTAGTATCTGCCTCAAGGTAAAACCAGAGTCTTATAAAACAACATGAAAAAAAAAAAGTTTCAGAAGGTCTAAGAATTTGGGAGTAAACATTTAAGAACACTAGCTATAATTACATGGGTAAACACATTTAGTTTTATTATTCATGTAGTTTGGGAAAGTTTTACATATTATACATATGGCTGTATATATATTATTAATATATATGGTGACTGAGACATTTAAAAAATGACCTATATATGTACATAAAAGTTCAGGATTTCTTTTTTCATATTTAGTATAAAGATTCATTACTACAAAATTATTGGCTCCCTATCCTATGATTTCTGGAAAATGGAGTGTTGTTTCAGAAGTCATAAAAGTACAATGTTAAGTAGATCGCTATTTTGACCAATTTTTAGAACTTGATGTTCAATATTTACCAGTTTAAAGTAACTGTACCTAACTCCATGGCTATCCATCTTGAAAATCAACTCCAATTACTAGATTATGACACTTGTTGTTTTACCTAACAATAAGCAGCAATTTAATGAATTGTTAAAGCAAAGATCATCTTTTATTGTCATTAAGAAGTATGGTCAAAGCAGTTAGTATCTGGCCATAATCTATAATGCTACCCTATTGTATTTTATTGCTAATTTGCATTATTTTCTAAATTTGTGTTAATCAATTTGCTCTTTTAAAGAAAAGTTGTCCTTATAAGTTACTATAAGTAAATTTACTAGATTCTAGAATCTAGATTCAGGCTACTATTGCTGTAGTTGTTCATGGGCTTATGATTTCTATTTTAAAAAGCTATGTTCAGCAACTGTATAGTTAGAATTGATAAAAGTAAACAAAGTCCTGATGTATTGGATTGATATTATCCAAATACCAAACAGAAATAGAGACTGCATAATCAAGGCATGGCTAGAACAAAAGTGAAACTCTACTTGCAATGCATCACATGTATTCCACTAGTTACAGTGTTATATGGCTTACCCAGGAACATCAATTCTATGGGTATTTGTATATTTGAAAATAAAATATATATATATATATATATATACACATAATATTTAGTTGTATGGAAATAGTCATGCCCTGAATGCTGAATGTGGACATTCATCTGTCTACAAAGAATGCTCATGTGCATTAACGTATTGGCACATTTCCCAAAAGCATATGCAGGTGCATGTGTATTTTAACTATTATCAGTTGTTCAACATCACTTTAAACCATTTCTCTTCGGTAAAGCTCATTATTTTGTATATTTCCCACAAGAGAGATTCACATTTCCTTGATTACAACTATACTCTTGTTGCCTTGGGAGACTACTGGGGCCCTTGGGACTCCTTGCCCTAGCAGAGATCTGCCAGGTCCTGCAGACTCAGATGAGACTTCAGTTTCAAGTTCAATGACTCTATTGAGATACAATGAACTTCTCTGAATTTATTCTCTTCAGCTCTGGCATCTGGACTGAAATAACTTCTCTGAATTTATTCTCTTCAGCTCTGGCATCTTGACTGAAATTAACTAAAGAGCATTAATACATTTTATATTATGGGGAATCAAGTGTGTATTAATTAGTCATGAATACAATTTATAATAGAAATAATTCCTTTAAGTATAGACTATTTTCTAATATGCATTTTATGCTAGATGATAAAGCTAAAAATATATATGATGTAAAAATCATCTCTATCATGTCAAGACAGTTGAAATATTTTTGTGGATAAACTTGTGCTGTTACGATGATCGTACAGTTGTTCACAGAGGCTCCATGCAGCAGCATGAAGGCATACCATAGAAGACAGCACATTTCCTGAGAACATGAAAATGAAACTTCTCTTAAAATTTATAGTATGTTGAAACATTAAGTCATAAGATATTACCTTGACACTGTGCTTTGATTCAGGTTGCTTTGAGAAGCCAGAATTCTGATGTAAATATACGTCGTTTAAAAGTTACCAAAGTTATTAAAAGGGTATGATTCATTTTGCCACTGATGTCCTATGCTAGGACAAAGAACATTAATTTGTGTTCTGGATATGAAATTCTAGAAAAAAATACCTATAGATTTCCACTCTTAACCATACAGCAACTTGGGCGTTGTTTCATTGTTAAAAAGATTTAAAGCAATGTGTGCATACTGCTTACTGCCGTGTATTTTCTCTTCCCTCTAAGTGCTCCTGGCTGGCATTCCATGTGACAGCTTTGCTGAGAAGAAAACAAATTCAACAGCCAGGTGTCTAATGCCTACCACTGACAAAGATGACCACTAATATTTAAGCACCTAACCTTTTAAGTGTGAATACTGTCCCTGTGAAAAGTTGGCAGCAATATAAAACATGGCTAACTTAGTTTAATGATGAGCTACATCTCTAAATATGTTTGAGGAAGAATATATACCATGTAAGAATCCTAAAGGGAGATACAAATGGAGATGAATCTTAAAAATCTGAGTATGTTAACGCATCTAAAGGAGGGGAGCTGTTTTGTTTTCCTAATCATTAAACAAAAAAGTACATTTCCTAACAGAAACGTAAAAACAATATATGAAACCTTTTTTAATATATATTATATAATACATACAATGTACATATTATATAATGTATATATTACATATGGATGAAACGGCTTACAGTTATTTGCAAATCTTATAAATTGTTCAATGGATTTGGTTCTCAACACAACAGATTTAACAAATATTCTAACAATCACATCCCACTTCAAAATAAGCACACTGATTGTTCACCAAATCCCCCACTTGCAAACTTAGAGGCATTTTAAAGCATCAAAAAAATTTGCAGAGGCATAATACATTTGCTGACCATATCCTAATGAAAACCTGTTGAAAGCAGTAGGCTCATTTTTGTCAAATTTCTACATGTGAAAATAAATCAACTTTGTGTCAGTTTACGTGTTACAGGATAAGGCACTCTCTCAGCCTGCATGGCCTTGCTTGCTGGGGACACATTCACTCAAGCATCAGCCTGTCATGGCAACAAATGAGAGTGCCAACTATTGCTCTTCACTTTTCCCCTCAAGATAGAAATGAAGGGAAAAGAAACCAATATATTTGTTTAAATTAGAATGGATAGCCATCTATCTTTGAAATAATGAAGCCATGTAGTGTTGAGCAGACTTTCAATGTCAGCCTTGGATGGCACTGACGTTACAGTCCTGCTTCTGTAAGAACTTGTATTAGGAAAGAAGGCCAATAACTACAATTTTTTCCTAAGAGTAACTGACCCTTCACTAGTTGATACTGAACCAAAGGACAGCTTTACAAAACTATTTCAAGTATTCATTATCACAGTGAAAATGGGAGACCAATATGAGAATGAAGGATTTGAAAATTCCTTTGATGAAAAAGGCAAGGGTACTAAATCAAAACATATACAAAATGCTTCAACGCATTTCTTTATGTGGTATGAATAGAAATATTATCCATAAAAAGTTAGAAAAATTAAGATAAATTATATATTAGTACACCTTCCCAACCACATTTTATATAAAAATTCAGAATAGTGTACTGGTATTTCAATCTACACAATAAAAATGCCTAAACTTGGCAGATATTGTCTATCTGTGCATGTATTTTCTCAGTAGAAGGCTTGTTTGTTGCAGTCACTTTTAAAAAGTTTTATTTCCATTCTGAACCTTAGTGAATCATCAGTAAACCCAGCTGATTGGGACCCACTGTGGCTCCATTCTCAGCTTCTCTATGGCAGTTTGTAGTTTTTCAAAGGCTTTGTCTAGATTGTCGTTTACGATGATCAAATCAAAATAGTGGTTGTATGCTCTCTGAATTCGTGCACTTTCATCCACGGTTTTCTTCAAGTCAGAGTCCTGTCAAAGAGTGTTAAAAGGAAATGTTTCTATCATAAGGTGTATTTACTTGCTCAAACACCAAAGTGAATGTAAGAACTAAGTACATTGGACTTTTATTTATGGTGATTAATATTAATTCTCAAAATCTAATTTATATAGTGTTGAAAAAAACATTACCATATGTTCATATCCTAGTCTTTACAGCAGAGTTCATGTTTGCTTTATGAGTATTCTCTATCTTCTATTTCATTGATCTTAGGAAAATATTCCTAATTAAACAACTGCTGATAATAAACTCAGGGTGAAATCTAAGGTAATAAAAGAATTATTTTAGGTTTCTAGCACAACTATAGCATCCTCTTCAAATGATTTTTTTTTAATTTGAATATATGTATGACATCCTAGAAAAAGAATCCTAGAATTTTCCCTTTGTGTTTTTGTCTTGCTTCTTCATGATCCTGCATGCCAGCTGAGGTGGTCAGTACAATGAAACCAAACTGGTGGGACAGGAGATTATTCTGCCATTTTTCTTTTCTTTTCTTTTTTTTTTTTTTT